TTCCCTGGCAGGAGTCAGCCCCTGCCAGCCCGCCCGCCCGCCGGCCCTGCCCTTGCAGCCCTGCGCGGCCCCTGCGAGCGGGGGCGGCTCCACCAGGAGCGAGGGGCTCCAGCTGCAGCTGGGGAAGTTTATAGTAGACGTGAGGAAAACTTTCTCATGAGGTGGGTAGAGAAGCCCCGGGACGGGCTGTCCACAGAGGTGGCATCTCCGTCCTTGGAGGCTGTTGAGACCCGGCTAGACAAAGCCCTGGCTGGGATCACCTAGGTGGGGACTTCGAGCGCGGGGTGGGCTAGATCAACCCGTGGGGGGTGGTGATGACCCAGAAGTGGGTTGCAAGAATATACGAAAACTTTCTCATGAGGTGGGTAGAGAAGCCCCGGGACGGGCTGTCCACAGAGGTGGCATCTCCGTCCTTGGAGGCTGTTGAGACCCGGCTAGACAAAGCCCTGGCTGGGATCACCTAGGTGGGGACTTCGAGCGCGGGGTGGGCTAGATCAACCCGTGGGGGGTGGTGATGACCCAGAAGTGGGTTGCAAGAATATACGAAATGAATACATTTTAAAAATGGGTTCTTCTTTAAAGGAGAAAAATATGGGAAACTGTGGCTTTTCCCTCGCAGGCTGGCAGAGCTCCAGCTGCTTGGACCCCCACCCCCTCCCCATGCCCTACACCCCCTTACTCCACACACAGGGGGCAGCAGGTCAGGAGTGAGGGGCACTGGGTTGGGACTGGCCAGTGATGTTTACAAATAGGTCCTGGCACAAAAAAGGTGGAGAACCACTGGACTAGATGACCTTCTGAGGTCCCTTCCAACCCTCACTTTCCATGATATTGGCATAGGCCACCGCCAATCTCAGTGCAGGGCGATGGCTGGTGCCCCCCTGAGAACGTAGAGGTGCTGAGAGAAGTGGTGGTGGCACTTCCAGGTGTGCCACCAGCACCCCACCAGTGAGCAGTTGGCCATTGGGAACCTCCCCACCTTGGCCACTGGTGCCCCCCACCAGGATCAGGACACACCAGTTGCCCATGATATGTGGGCTCTGCCAGAGAGGGGGATCCTGCTTTCTGAGCTGCCTGAAGGCTGGTGCTGGCCTGGGACTGCATCTTGGGCACTAGTACATGCACGCTCCAAGGAAGGGCCTGTGGCAGGCCTTGCCCTAGCACTGCAGCATGCTCACCTGGTGAAAACTTACTTCTGGTGCTGTCAAAGAACAGAGCTACAAGCTCTGACTCCCTCACAAATCTGGGTCATCCTGAGGGAGTCTTCTGGTATCGCCTGGGTTCTGTTTTTTTGTCACTGGCAACCAAATCTGGAGGGTCCTTAAATCCAAAGGACTTGCCCCAGAACTTTCCACTTAATCAGGAAGGCTGTTGCCACTGGCAAATGTCTTGAGAGGGACAAAAAGAATGAAGCTGCCTGATTCCACCTAATTCTGATTGAGAACAGAAGTCACAGGCTTGCTTGCTACTGCAAGACCAGGAGAATGCAGCTACCCAACTGGAGGTATGAACCATCCACAGCTTCTGACCTGGTCACATTAGAGGCAGGTATGTGGAAGAGTTGATTTTGTCTTCTATTTAAAAGAATAAGTTACATAACTGAAAGAAAAAAAAGTGTTTTGTTCAACTTGCTACCAGGACTAGAAACTATACAGGCCTTGTCTAGTGCAGAGGATGAGACCTAGGATAGAGATGTGGTGCTCTTGCTTGAAATACAGAAAGATCATTACAAGCCCAGCTCTGATGGTACATTCAGGAGCTGCAAGGAGGGCAAGTGGACATTAGGTCCCGCAGCAGGGACTGACCAGGAGGTTTATCCTTGTGGGCAGCACTGGGGTGGGTGGGTGGCCAAGGGAGGGAGTAGGCTAAGTGGGAGGGGAATGGCATGAAAACCTGCCTGCTTGATAGGGCTGCTGTTTGACCTAAGCTGTGCTTGCCAAAATGACAGTGGGTGCAAACACCCAATTGATACCCATGCAAATAGGTGGAAATAAATGCCCAGCTGTCAAAAGTAGAAAATGGCAGCTCTCCAGAGTACCCTGACATTGTGTACCCTGGTAGCATTTGCCTGGTCTGCACTACTGAGGATTAATGTGCTAATGTGCACCTCTGGGGACGGGGATGTGGCAGACAGTGGGAACACGTGGACTATCAGTGACCCCAGCACAATTTGGGAACTAATGGTGGCTAGGAAAGGGAAAGATTTTTGGTCTTTTTTTCCTTAATTGGTACACAGTAACATCCTAGTGTGAGCAAGGCATTTTGTAGTTCTCACTTGTGCATGCATTGAGGTGAATCCTAGGGGAAGAACTGAAATCTGGAAATGTATTAAGAACTTTCATTAATCTCAGATGTTTTCAATGTAATTCTTTAGCAATATGATATTTTGTCCCCTAATATATACACAAAGACATTTTACAACTCCAATAAAACCTTTTGGCCTCCAAACAGCTCTAAACTGCTGCTGTGTGGAGACTCAGAAAGCTGTAATTGATCGTGACAAACTCCACTCAGATTGCAATGTGAAAAGCTAGCTCCACATCTCTTAAGAGAACAGTGCTTGCAGATTTATGAAAGGAGTATAATTCCATTTCCAGTCACTAGAGCAAAAGATTTTGGAAATTTGACAGTTACCTGAGGTAGATGCAACTTATTAAAATGAATACCAATTAACTGTATTTATACTTTCGATTTGTATTTTAATATTCTCTTTTTTCCAAAGGAAAGTTCTAATACTTGTTTATGGCGCCAGTGGAGAAATCTATACTTGGAGAAGAAAGGCCTGTCTTTTTCCTGAGGTATGTACTGAATCACACACCAGACTTTTGTCTTTTGCTTAGAATGCAGTGTTTATTTTTAATATAGGGTACAAACCCAAATAGGCAACCTGAGTCACTTTATCCATCCGCCCCTTCCAGACTGTATATAGAACAGCTATGACAGCTTCACGGCTACTTTCTCCCAATGCTCATTTCCGTCCTGTCGTTTGTTTTTGTGGATTCTGGGTTGGTATTCTGATGCATGCCTGCATGGTTCAGTGCCTTCAACAGCTTTAGAGAGGTACCCTGCAGTGTTTCCTCTCCTACTTCTGCCAATTTGGTCAGCTGCAGCTGCATTGTCTTCATCAACTTTTGCACCCCGGGGTCCTGTAGTCTCTGGTAGAGGTCCTCCAGGTCAGTGGTGTGCACGTGAGATGCCCTGGAGCTGGGCTGTGCACCATTTTGCTGTCTACTCACAACTTCTTTTCTGTTTCCATTAACAGGGGAGTGTTTTACTGTGCCCACTGATTGATCTATGCTCTGAGGTATGAAGGTTGAGATGAAGAATATTCTCAGAATGGACTCTGGTGTAGGTGATCCTATTTTAGGAGGAGGTGTTGATTTTGTAGTGGTAGCAGTGGTGGTGGAAGGCTGTATAGGGGGTGGTTTTATGGACACAGGGTTGACACTGATGATCACTTTTCGATTTGGGGATTGCGATTTATCAAGTGTGGTTTGGATCTCTTTTGGGCATTCAACCCTCTATGGAAGAGAAAAGAGGCAACGGTGAGAGGCAAAAAGCACAAAGACCATGCACCCTTATCAGTCTGGTTTGTGGACACTGCACAGTCACAGTGTTCCCATTCTAAACATGCGGAGTTTTCTCATAGACTTGAGGACAGGAAGAGCGATCTTCTGACCTTTTTCCTATGCTGTTTCACCACTTGCCTGTTTGTGACTTCTTAGTTTTCTCTCCCTTCTCTCTTTCCTTTCCACTTAGTCTCCTTCCCATCTTCTAGGGACAGGGTTGGATATTTATACCAAGTAATCCCTTCTCTTGTGAATGGGGTCCTAGATTGTGGAAGAGACCTTGGCCTCACCTTTACCAGAAATGGTGGCTTGATTTTCAATTGTGACTGGGGCTGAAGTGCTGAATTTATGCTGGTGACATCATTCTTTTCAGAAGTGAATTGTGAGGGCCCAGAGCCCTCCACTAAATAGTGTCTGTGGGATTTGTATGTTGCTTGGGCCCTTGTGGTTTTTGTTATACCTCAGGTCTCTCGATCTTCCTTTGCCTCATTCTCTACTCTTTTTCTTTAGTGTTCCCTACCATTTCCTGCATTACTGTCCTGGACAGTTTTCTCATGATGTAGGTGGAAGACTCACCTTGGCAAAATACATTTTCTTATTACAACGATAAAACGTAAATGTGCAGAAGTCTGGTGAAACTGCGATTTCTGGTATGTTTGTACATATAGGCCCTGGAGGGAGACAAATAATGAAATACATTCAATGATAAACTTCAGTACTGGACAGTTACTTTCTCTAACTCTCTGTGATATACCCGTGTCAGATGATTACCATTCATCAGTGACAAATCCAGTAACCCCCCAAACCCTAC